ATGCGACCCGGTTGCTCTGAAACAGTTGTTGATTTGGGCAAGGAATGGGTAGTAGCAAACATAGGGGCTACTAGTGAGCTACTGGGTGTCTCATCAGAGGGTATGAATGATCGGGCATTGTTCATTCTTCATGCAATTGTGGAAGGAAGAGAGCTTGCAGTGATAGATGAGGTTGTGAATAAGAGACCTTTATCGTCTTGGAAAGGGGAGTAGGAGGTCAAGAATCTTATCTTTTATGTCAACTATGAAGGGAAGAGGGGGGTGTGAGGGAGAGGGGAAGGACTAGAAGTAGGAGTGGAAGGAGGGGAGGAGGGGAGATAATTTTATCTGGTTCTCAATGAAGCTACGAATCATTACTTGGAATGTTCGTGGTCTTAACGATCCGGACAAAAGGAGGGTGGTGAAGGTAGCTTTAAGGAAATGGGGCGCCCAGGTTGTTTGTTTGCAAGAAACTAAGATGGCCTCTATGTCTGATGGCGCTGTTAGGAGTTTTTGGGGAGGAAGTTTTGTGGAATGGGAGGCCTTGAATGCTTTAGGTACCTCTGGTGGAATTTTACTTATGTGGGATCGTAGATGGTTGTCTCAGATGGACGTCTGGATGGGGAGGTTCTTTGCGTCCTGCGTGTTCAAGATGGAGGAGGATAATTTCATATGGGTTTTCACTGGGGTCTATGGACCGGTAGTTGATAGTGATAGACCACTCTTTTGGGAGGAGCTTTGCCATGTTCGTGATTGTGGACTCTTCCTTGGTGTCTGGGTAGGGATTTTAATTCTGTTAGGTCCCCATTAGAGAGGTCCACAGGGGGAAGGTAGTCTTTGGACATGACTCAGTTTTCTAATTTTATAGATGGGCACTTTCTCATTGATCTACCAATGGAAGGAGTAGCCTTTAACTGGTCTAATGGCAGAGACCCAGTTACCTTATCAAGACTAGATAGGTTGGGGAGTGGGAAGAGAAATTCCCGAATGCTGTTCAGGCGGTTTTAGCAAGGGTCACTTCTGATCATGTTCCTGGTACTAGATTGTGGGGGTTAGAGATCTCGGTGTTCCCCGTTTCAATTTGAGAATATGTGGCTGAGAGCAGAGGACTTCCAAGGGAGTGTTCGGTTTTGGTGGAAAGAAGCAACGGTTACATGTTCTTCCAGTTTTGTGTTAGCTAGGAAGCTAAGAGCTCTCAAAATCCAATCTCTATTACGGGAGGAGTTGGTGTGTGGAAATTCATTAGGAAGGGTTGGGATGTTTTCTCTTCCCATATTAGATTCAAGGTTCGTGACAGTAGATATGTTCGATATTGGGAGGATTTATGGTGCGGTGACCAGCCATTATCTTACACTTTTCCTAGTTTGTACAGCATCGCCACTGACAAACATGCCTGCATAGTTGACTGTTATCGGCTTGATAGCAGTGGGATTATGTGGGACGTTAGCTTTCGGCGTTCTTTTCAAGATTGGAAGATGGACGAGGTCTGTGTTTTTCTGGATATGTTGTATCAGCAGGAGGCAGTTGGCAAAGGTAGTGATGATATTAGGTGGATCCCTTCTTCCCATGGTCGATTTGAAGTACGATCCATGTTTCGATGCCTCTCTAACTTCGTTGGCATTGATTTTCCATGTGTTAGAAGTGAAGAGAGAGAGAGAGAAACGTATATGTATTGATGTGTGAGATATGAAGAGTACATGGGGGTTTATATATGAGAGGTCATGTGTGGAGAGCAAGTCAATACCATATAAGGTAATGTTATATATGGTAATGAGGGTAGGTTAATACAACTACCATATAAGGTAATGCTATATATGGTAATGATATATTATAGAATATATTCTAACAATACATGATAACGATATATTATAGAATATATTCTAACCACCCCCCTCAAAGTCAAGGTGGGTTATATGAAACCATCTTGAGTTTGAAGATAATCCTTTCACCCTGATGTAGTTGACGTGGCACCGATGCTAACGTGGTTGATGACATGGCAACTGAAGTGAAAGGTGACTTGCTGCATGGCAACTGACAGGGTAGGTGACTTGGCATAACTACTGGCACCGTTGCAGAATGTGTCTAACGTTAGACTGATGCTGACATGTCAGGTGACGTAGGGTGGATTTGTGAAGATCTTGGAGGTAGATGCGGAGCGTGAATAGGTTGAAGGCGCTCACGTGTGAGCGCATGATGACCACTAATGGGGTGACGAAGGTGATCCAACACGTTAAGGTGCGGGATTACCGCTGGTGCGTGTGAAAGCGCATGGAAGAGTGGGATTACCACTTGAGGCGCATGGTGGCGCGGTTGGAGTGCGGAAGCGTGAGTTTGCAAGCATGATTTGCCGGTTAACCGCCGCCGCCGCCGAGGATGCGGCTAATGGTGCCATCCCCGGTGGTGACTACGATAAATTGGTAGATTGCTTACCAGAGATCGAAAGGCTCTGATACCATGTTAGAAGTAAAGAGAGAGAGAAACGTATATGTATTGATGTGTGAGATATGAAGAGTACATGGGGGTTTATATAGGAGAGGTCATGTGTGGAGAGCAAGTCAATACCATATAAGGTAATGCTATATATGGTAATGACGGTAGGTTAATACAATTGCCATATAAGGTAATGCTATATATAGTAATGATATATTATATAATATATTCTAACAATACATGATAACAATATATTCTAACACCATAGAAGACCATATGGCATTCTACTGCTCCACCTAGAGTGGCATTCTTTGTATGGACTACTGTTTGGGGCAAGATCTTGACGATTGACGATTTGAGGAAGAGAGGCAACTGGATTGTTAATTGGTGTTACCTTTGCAAACGTGATGGTAAGTTAGTGGATCATATCCTCCTACATTACCCTGTGGCGTATGACTGTTGGAACCTTATATTTGGCTTGTTTGGTATGTTTTAGGTAATGCCTCGATCTTCTAAAGGTCTGATTAACGCATGGAGGGGATGCCGTGTGAGAAGTAGTGTTCGCGACTATTGGAGGATAGTTCCGCATTGTGTTTGGTGGTGCATTTGGAAGGAGAGGAATTGCAGAATGTTCGAAGGGAAGGAGTCGTCCATGGTGACGCTGAAACTTCATATTATTTGCTTTATCTTTAGTTACGTGAAGAGGAGTTCTTGTTCCTCTTCCGATCACTTAGTTAATTTTTTGGATTCTTTGGGTCCTTAGATACCAGTTACACTTTTGTTTAAGGGATGCGTTCCCCTTTTGAACGCTTTTTAATCAATTATTATTTATCAAAAAAAATATAACTTATAATAAGTGGTAGGGTCCACCACTTAACATATGCATACCAATTATATTATGTAAACAACTCTTTAAATAACATAAAAACAAAGCCCTTCAAACAGGTGCGCCCCATATGCGCCTTGGGCCTATCGCCTTTACCAAATAGGCACGCGCCTATGCAAAGACGCCTCGCTTGGGTGCATGTAAGGCGCTAAAGCTGCACCTTGATGTGCCTGGCGCGCGCCCGGAACGCCTTTAACAACATTGGTTTCACCTTCATTTTTGTTCACTTATTTCGTTTAATATTATTATTATTTTTTTTTTTGCAAACATAAAGTGAAATGTTCACTTTTGAACCACTTGATTCTCAATCCTCACTACGTCCTCATTTATATTTCTAAATTTACTAAAGCTAGCTCATCCATAACCAAGGCAACCTTTATTTGAATACATAAATCTAAAAAAAGCATGCCTACTCCACGTAAAGGATGACATATGTTGAGCATCCCATTATTTACATTTCCCTAATTTATTTATATTTTGATATTTTGGCTTTAAGTTTAAACCTTAATAAATTACATTTCTCTAATTTATTTATATTTTGATATTTTGACTTTAAGTTTAAACCTTAATAAATTGAGGTCGTTGTGAACAATGGGATCCTCAACGTATATTAGTATCATTGATAGATGGTTAGAATCCTAGTTCATCTTTGAGGAAAGATACAAATCAAACTTGTCTATAAAGTGAAGCATCAGTTGATCTCAGAGTTTCCGTGAACCCATTCATTTAGAAAAAACAGTCAGTAATGTCGTGGAGAGCAAAATCAACTCATTGACACTTTTCAACACCCTCCAGAGCAGCATGTTATTCAGTCCTCAAATAATCCTCAATACCACTATTTAATAATTCTCTCCAGGCACTTGAAAAAAAAATAAAAAATTTATCTCTAGACAATCACTAATACGAATATCAGATATCTATACAAGGCTTATTATCTATCATACATCAATTCCAGTTAAAAATAATAAAATACTGTTACTTATTAACCTGCACTGGAAAATCACTTGACAGCAATGCCTAAGATAATACTCTGTATTTGAGTTGCAAGGATATTATCTAGATAAGCATCTTCCCAAGAGTACACATGAAACAGATTTAAAAGCCTTAATACTAGCTGGATAGGTCTTCCTAGCTCTTCAAGAAATGGAACCTCTACCATCTTTGAGGTGTTCGCTAGTGCAAATCAAAAACCTTCGTTAGAGTAGTGATTTTGCCTCAAGAATTTGACGTAATAGTGATCTTACCCTCTAAGGATTTTTGTCCCTGGGTGGCGTTCTAAAACTATATACTCCAGAGGTTCTCGAGCAAGAGGATAGTGATTGTTCTCTTTTAACGGGAGCATTGTATTCCGAGTTGAATGTTTTCGATGAATTGCTCACATCCACCAAGCCTTAGACTGCACATTCAAAGGAGACTAAACAGCCATTATTCACTCTTCAGGTGCCTTTATGTGGAAAGCAACGAAACAAGGTAGTCCTTCGACGGTGCTTGGGGGGCTGTTCATAAGGGCAGTATTCTTTACTTTTTCTTTTTTCATTTTTTCTTTGCTTCCCCAGGATTATTTTTAGAGGATTATTTGGGTTTCTTTGAATATCAGCTTTTTTGTAGGTGTTAAACAAAGGAATCACCCACCACCAAAAGTTCTAAAGAGAAATGAAACACAAATACAAAAGAAAAATCTCGAACCCATGCATGAAATAATTACCTTGCTCGCTTTTTCCCTCAAAGAAGCTTGGGGAGACTCGGAACATTTTTCCACAACATCTATATTTTCGCAGAAATAAGATGCTACAATCGAGAAATGTTCATCATCTTTTCTCCTCAAAATTGCCTCAAGAACGCAGACTGCTTTCATTCGTACCTGATAGAAGTCATAATACCAAGAAAGAAAAAACAAAAAGAAGAGCCAATAAGTTCAGTCTCCCATATGTTATAAGGAATATATTTCAGTTGAAGAAAAAGCTACAACCAGATTTGTTTTAAAGAAGTAAAGTATATACAGATTAAAACCAATCAGCATGTTTAATGCAGCCTAGAGAATTTTATCATGATGAACATATGTCGATGTATATATTCGTTGTACGGTCAAACTTCTACAACTTATGCATCAAGTAATCGCCTACGCAAAGAGCACACCAGCCACACAAATGGGTGAGTAATTACATTTTTATGCATCATCTAACCAGTAAATTGACAAAATGATCATACCTGCCACAAATGAGATTGAAGCTTTGATTTGAGGGCATCGCTTAAACCTTGTGCATCCAACTTCAAGGACTCTGCAAGAAAAACCTGAAGGGCATCTCGAGTGGGTTGTAAACGGACGCCACCAGACGTTACAATGGTCTCCAATAACCTCTCTTCGCGAGTTTTATTCTCAGCATGACTTGAATAGGAATCCCCATTGGTTGTTTCTGGTTGGGTAACCCTCAAATCCTGACCCCAAGGTCCAGCAGTCCCATTCTTTGAAAAGCGAGAAGAGCTTTGAGTTTCAGCGTGATTTTCAATGCTGTTATTTCCATCTCGGTAATCAATTTCTGTTGTCAATGACCTTCGAAGAGCAGGACTCTTATAACTTCCAGTGTCATTCTTCCTTAACGACTGAGCTTGCGTTATACTATTCAATCCCTGCTTTATTGTGGCACTTCCAATGCCAACCACCTCACTGAGAAAAGATTTCTTATCTTCAGATGGCAATTCAAAGTTTGTATTTCCAAAACCTTGTATCCGCTTATTAAGATCTTCCACAGGTTGTGGCTTACTCTCATCTGCAGAAAATATTGCAGATATTGTTTCATGGGCAGTGTCTCGCACAGCCTTGTTCAGTGCATCTCCCTTCAAAGGATCCAACTGACCCTTGTAGTGAAATAACTGGCGCACAGCCACAGAATTTCTTTGCATTTCCCTCCTGAACTCCACGCCAGACTTTACCACCGCATATTTAATCAGCCTTAAAGCCTATGCAAGATGTAAAAATAATAAGTATTTGAATTTCTTCTTCTTCTTCTTCTTCTTTTTTCTTTTTATTTTTTTTTATAAGTAGTAAGTATTAGCATATCTTAACAATTATAATCGCTGACTTACAATCATATAACTCCTTTCATCAGTAACCTAAATTTTACAGTATATTACTACATATCACTGTGAAATACTAACTATATTTTCCTCATATATTTAGTGAAATTAATAAATAATTAATTAAAATACATGAGTTATAGCTTCCAAAAAGACTTTCCTTGCAGAACCTTTTATAAAGCAAACCCGAATAAAATATACTAACTAAGATAAGTCATTTTTCATGGCAGACCAAACTAAGCCCAAATAACAAGATACAAGTAATTGATTCCTATTTTCTATGATGCAATCAAAGAACATACTACTCTGCTTATTCAACTAATTAGATCAGCTCAATCACAATATATGGGTCTTGAATAACACTGAATTCTTCACAAGTGGTAATATATGAAACGCAAATTTCAACAAATACAGAATATAGATCTGCTTACTGCAAGCTACAAAGTAGTAATTAACAAAAAAAAATCACTTTCAAAGATGTACGATACCTTCTGTTTGACAATTGGGCTTTTGTGTTCAAGCCGTTTCAATATAAATTCAGATACTTCCTTGACAATACTGACATGCGAAGAACGAAGAAGCTCGCAAATCTCCTCCAATTTGTACACAGGCGCCACCTTGTCTTCATCCGACGTTGCGCCATCGATCATCCGCGACCTCCAGTACGATTCCACCGCTCTCCTGCTCGAATCCATACCTTTGGTAGCTCGAATTCAATTCGAAACCCTAAAAACTAAGAACTTGAAGAGATGTGATACGAGTCAATCGAGAATTGGAGGGTAACTGATCGATCTGAATAGCAATTTGGCTTCACCGATCAAGTGATACCTCCGTATGATGCAAGATCAAAACCCTAATAACCGAATTTGATGATTTTTTGTAAATCAAATGCAATCAATTTGATTGATTGATTGATTGCTATGGATTATTGGTTGTTATATGAGCCCTAGAAATTTTATTTACATTTCAATTCATGCATGCATGTAAATAGGGGGAAGAAGATTCAAATGGGCACTGGAGACTGGAGAAAGAGCGAGAGGGATTGAAATGTGGAAGAAGCTTGTTCTCGAACACGCACAGTTTTAATCACCTGTGGAGAGCTTTACGATAAGAGCGATCAGAATCAGATTCATCAGAAGAATAGGGACAACGCTGCGTTCGGTTAGGTTTTTGTGGGTGAAAACAAGATCGAACCTAGTCAACCGGTGCTCGGACCACTGACATGAACCAAGCACCAATTTGGAGCGCAGGTCCTTTTTTTCCAATTTATTTATTATTTATTATTTAATGTTAGCAAATATTGTTTTTTTTTTTTTTTATTTAAAAAAATCATGTTTCCCAAAAATCTTTTATTGTAATCATAAAACTGTTTTTAAGTTTTACATTCATTTAAGAAAAATGATATATCTTCCGATTTCATCCGCCGACTACCCTTCGAATCCAACGCGACTTGCCACATCAAAATCCAAAAAGCACACGACTCTTTCTCTCTCTTCAATTTTCTGTCCCATTGTGTTTCTTTCTGCTCGCCACCGCTAGCTCCTCAAGGAATTACAGAGAAAAAATGAAAACCGAAAAATGGCTTAACTGTTTAAATAATTTTTCTCTATCATTTGAAAATTTAGGTGATAACCCCTTATTAGTGTAGGTGCAAAATTTCCCGAACTGGATTTCGGATCCAATTTGAGGAAATTAGAGACCCGAACACTCAAAATAGGATTAATCAAATGTAAATAATTGAAGAACCGTGAAGGAAGAGAGACAGATTTTACAGAAGAATATAAGCAGAAAAATGGATGCCTTTTATTAGGTTCTTGACCTCTTATTTATATATTTACAAAGAGATTTCTATGGGGCCAGTACTGGTCATTTTGTATGTGGGTATTCATCCCCCCTGATTCTTTGTGATTTCCTTTTATGATGGGTGTTACTTCCAGTGCGTTTGAATTTGGCTTGGGTTGATTGGGCTTTGCTTCCTCTATTTGGACCAACTTGAAGTCCGATGTCTTTTAAGGTGGGCTTCTAATTGCTTTTCGTTGGATGTTGGGCTTCTGGTTTAATTATACCAATACTGGGTCTTCCTTTTTCGATGACATGTGGTGTCCTTTGATTGGTGGGAAAATTTCCTTCCACACTTTGCTCTCAATTCCATTTATGAATCAAATTCGTATAGAGAATTATAACTGATTTTTGGAAGTGGAAGGGTTTTTTGCGGATGGTACTACTCATCATCACCACTTGGGGTTCTATGTTTTGGGGTCTCATGCTGTCGTCTCTTCATTGTCTCCCTTGTATCATTATATATTGCGCTCTAGTTGTCTCCGTGGATTGCATTTGCGAGAATATCTTGGCTTTGAGAACAAATACGTCTGCTTCTGTTCGGTCTTCCCCTATTGTTTAAGGTCAGTCTTTCTTTTGTTTATTTTAATTTGTGAGTTGTACACAGCGGAATATTTAGAAAGTTTTGTATTTTTAGAAACAGATCTGTGTCTTTCTAACTTTACTTATTTTAGCAATTAAACAATTAATCTCATGCAAGATAAAATAGACCAATTGTTTGCATGGGAAAACCTCGTGGACTATGCAGTCCAAAGTAAACTGATCCACTATGTATGAAACAAAGTACACTGAACTTTGACTCAAGCTCATACCCATTCGTTTTACCAAAGACCAATAGCTGACAATCCTCTGGCTTTGCGACGTCCCGTCCAACAGCACTTGACCTCAGGCTTACGCTTGATCTCTGAAGCAGGATTGCAGGTAGATCAAACAACACTCCTCGAATGTTTTGACCCTTTCAAAGTGTGATCGCTTTTACTTCTGTTCTTCAATATTTGAATTTGATGTAGAAGTAGATTTGTTTTTCTATGATCGTTGTAGATGCAAGACTTTGATCATGATCAGGATTTGAACAACTCTCTAAACTCACTCTTGTGTTTATGTGTATGTTCTAGAAAGACTGACTGAGAAATCAGCTTGGATTTTCTGCAAAAATAAACTTTCTAAGGCTTTTATGAATAATGAAGTTGTAATGCAAAATCCATACTAAACCTAGATGTATATCAGAGTTTATATAGAATATTCAACAACCTAATCCTTTATAAAATAAAGGAAATGTCGTGCATAGGATTTTTGGTATAATTCTAAACTAACTAGGAAAAAAATCAGGATAGGATTCAAAAGTTACCTAAACTGTAGAAGATCTTTGAACCGGTTCAAGAAAGGCTGAACTGGTTTAAGAATGGTAGTGAAATTTTGAAGGAACTTTGAACATCTTGAACCGGTTCCAAAAAGCTTGAACCAGTTCAAGTTTGCCAGAATTGAATCCTAAAGCTCTGAAGGTTTGAAAACATTGTTTTGGTAAGATCTGAAAATGTACCAAGTATGGAATGTGTCCTAACCTTTTTAGATTTCTTCCTAAAGTGTTGTTACTTTCTTAATGATCTCAGTATAGTATCTTTGAACAACCTTCCAATTCCGCAGCCGATTTCAATCCTAATATGGTTACTTGAAATTATAACTCGATCATACATATTTTAACACCGAAATTTGCCAATTACAGAATTTAATCTCACAATCTCCCCTTTTGGCAACTTCGTGACAAAACCCTAAAAATAATTAAGTAATCAACTAATAAGCGCTGAAAAGTGTGCATTTAAACCCCTCAAGCTTGAATGTTCTAAGACCTTTATCTATCTTATTTTTCCGTTTTAGTCTAATTTCGTGTCATTCCCCTTTTCAAGTAGTTATCTCCAAAATATATTAAATCAGCTGAATTAGATCATTGGAGGAAACAATCTAAAGTCTAGTAGAAGAAAGGAGCAAAGTGGTGAAAAAGTCTTCTATGATTGATCGAACCGAGCCATAACCGATCGTACTCCGATCGTTCCAACCATGCCATGATGGATCCTTGTCCTTATTTTCAGGAAAATTTCCTATTCAATCAATCCAACCTTTCCTTTGATCGATCGAACCTTTTGATCTTATCCTCACCTACCACTTTTGTCATTTTCCTATAAATATCTTAGCCTTTGTCCTTATCCAAATAAATGCGTCGCCTTACTTCGATTGATCAGAGCAACCATGTGATCGATCGAACTGTGACGACCCTGGTTTTTAGGCCAGCATGTCCTGTGATGAACCATAAGGATGATCCGATAACGGATCCGAATGCAGAAGTGAAAACGGAAAACAAGACTCTAAGAAGTCAAAGTGACCTTCCATGAGGTCGTGGAACTTAACAAGAACTGATGCGGAAGCAAAAGATTGAAAATATGACAAATAAGCCCCCAGGGGCAAAATAGTCATTTCTAAAAACTGTAGATTCGGGTGCCACCGAGCACACCGCTGGAAGGACAACGAAAAACTAATCAAGTGATTCGTAGTCCGGACGAAGGAGAAACGGCATGACGACGAAAAACGGACGCTTAAAGCTTTAAGGGCAAACTGGTAATTATCCAGAAATATCCGGGTGTAACTGAGCACACCGTTGGATAGACGACGAAAAATTAATCAAGTTAAAAAAAAAATTCACTTGAATCGGAGTCCGAACGAAGGAGAAAAGCCCAAAAGAAGAATTGACGTCGCGGCGGCCCGACGAGGGGCCATGACAGCCCCATGCGCACGCCCATGCTCGTGCCCATGCATGCCGCGCGCGCGCCGGGTGCACACATGGCTGGCAGCAGCCCATAAAGCTGCTGTGTGGGTTCTTTTTTCAGAAAAATCCGGAATAGAGGCTGAATTTGGAGGCATAGATGAACTTTTTTGCAAAAACACAAAGAAGAAACCCCCCTCAAAATTGAGTTTTCTATGTGACTCACAAGAGAATTTAGGAAAAACTCAATGTAAAATTCCCAAAATGCCATCCCAAGAAATCTGGTCCAGAGGGTCGAAAAAGCTGCTAAATTGAAAAACTGAAAGCTGAACTTCGTAAGCGATTTCCGATGCCAAGACAACATTTTCTGGAAAAACACGAAAAAGAAACCCCCCCTAAAATCATGTTTTCTATTCAACCATATTGAAAGAAGGAAATAAAACTAAATGACAAAGTCTAGAATGCCCCTAGATCAGAATATGCAACAAAAACGCAAAATGAAATCGTAGGAGGCTCAAAACACAAACGATGAGGTTTTGCCCGGAAACGACTATGCACGCAAACGTAACTTACCTATTTAGACCCGCTACAATGGTCCATGGCTTAAAAATATAGCCGATACAAAATCCGACCCCCCAACGGGCAAAAAGGCAAAAATGGACTTGGAATGGAAAACATGGAATCCAAAAATGTAAAATGGAGTCAAATGACCATTTGGCCCTTGGACACACTTCATACAAGATTTATAAGACCCTATAAAAGAATCAAAATGGAATTCCCACACCCGATGCAACCATGGTAAAACAATGACTTGCGATTTTTCAAGGTTTTCATAACATTTCATGCAGTTAAAAAGTTACATAGAATACAATACACATGTCATTGGCCTCCGGCCTCATCTCATACATATCAATTACATTGAAAGGAGTGTACTTAAGTATACATTATATACATGGAATCAAATATACATATTTTGACATATAAGTCTACAAAATGACATTTCATACTAACATTTGCATGAAATGGAAACTTGAAAGCTACACGACATCTAAGGAATGCTAGGCATCACGAACCAAGTCTTCGTACCTGAAATATGCCCAATATCGTAGGGATGAGTAACATAAAGCTACTCGTAGGAGATGAGCATGCATCGACCTAGCATTTTACAAATTTATCACCTTAAGGTGAAACATGTTAAAGGGGCTCATGCCACCTAACGTCTATGTCCAAGTGAGACTCGGGGAGCATCCTAAGCTACCTTAGAGTCTAAGCAACAAGAATCATGATATACATACGTGTATGAAACGAATCATGGTTGGAATAATCCAAAGAACACGACAAGAAGAATGCTTGAGCATAGATTAACATGAATTGCATTTTTAATACAATTGAACTAGGTCTAGAGTAATACATACAACATGACAAAAGCATATTTGAATACAAGTTAACAAGAATCACATTATCCATGCAATTCAACAACAAAAGAGCATGTTATACAATGCAACAAGGTTTAAGTTCTCAAAGCCATCAACTTAGAATCAAAAGCACAAAATAATAGTAGTGGTTCATGCCACCTAACGTCTGTGT